ATTCTTTGCTCACAAGATGGATGTAATGGAAATAAAAGTAAAATTAAGAGACAAATTTTTTATTTATTCTATCTTCTTCAATATTCAAATCACATATACTAAATAATTCAAGGTAAAAAAATACAAGTTAATAAAATGGGTAGCTCTAAAAAAAATTAACACATTTGAAAGCTATGAAAGTATAAGATATTTGCAATGATGAAACATCTAGCGTATCAAAATGACAATGAAATTTTTTTAAGTAAATTTTTTTTCTTGACATCAAAATTAACATAAAAATAATCATTTTTTTCAACGCCTATGATCAAATACTTTTTGAAAAAGCTTCAAAATTTATATCAAATTGGTCAATGATAATTTTTGGCTTTCATGAAGTTAAATATTGAAAAGTATAAAGTAAAAGCCTTAAGTTTATACTTAAATTCATGCTGATATACTTTTAGATGTGTAAAAGTTAAAAAACATGGTAAATCATGTATTCAAATAAGTAATTGAGTTGAATTTGAAATTTATTTTGGTATCAAACATTTGGAAGTTATGTATATAAGAATTTTTAAATTGATGATATTTGTCATCAAAGCTAAACACAATTTAATAGACGTTATTAAAGAAGTAGTTGCAATTGTATTGTTATGTAAGAAACACAATTGCAAAAAAGATGGTGAAAAAAATCAAATTGAAAAAAATAATGGAGGATAAACTATGTTAGATAACAAAATTAAAAGCTTCATCTCGGAAGAATAAAATCAACCACTTTTAGCAAAAAATAATTTACTCATAAAAAATGGTGATGTGACACTAGAATACATACTATGAAGTTGTGGATAGATGTTAAATGAATGATGTGATTTTTAAATTTTCTCGGACTAAATTAATCAAAATCAAAATAGTCATTTTATATCAATGATGACCATAACTCTATTAACTTGACAAATTGCCAAATCTCTCATAAATCAATCGATAATGACATCAATCAATTTTTACTTATGGTAAATATGACCACAATCTTATATTGCTTGAATTTTCTTGAATTGCTTTCAATGCATTGACATATTCATTAAGTACAATATACAATCATCTTTCTCCACACGCATAGTACTAAGATATATATTAGCAAAGTCTCCTGCAAACGTACATAGTTTGGCAAATAGAGGTTCAAAAGTATTCCATACTTTATGAAAACCAATAGATTTTGTCATTCAATCTACTATTTTGCGAACTACATCATTTCTTTGAGCAGTTCTTATTGTTCTCGTTCCAACACATCAATTGTTGTTGAATTTCTTTTCAAGGCGAGATCTAAATCTAGTGATGAGATCCACAAAGTTTGATGGAAACATAGTCGCAAATTTGCAAGAAAGACATGAAAGTAGAGATGTTTCTCATGAATTGTTATCATTTCTTTCAGGCTCAATTGCATGTAGGGTTATGCAATGCAGGGATGTGAGAGATTATGATATATCATAATTTACAAAGTGCTCGGAGTACTTTTTATCTCGTGGATTTCAAGACCATAAATTAATTTTCAAACTCCAGAGTGGAAGGAGTCAAGTGCAATGAAGCATACCGTAGCCAGAGATGAGATAGATTAAAGAGCTATGAGATATTTACATTTAACATATTTAAAACCACACCCGGTTTGTTCTTGAATGATCAAGCACTCGAGGCGCGAAACGCTCAAATCACACTAGTCCATAACTACATCATGTTCCCAGAATTCGACCATCCTTCCACTCGCGGGGGTCCACAATGTCATTCAAAGAGGAATTAACAAAGCAGCCATTCTCCTCCATCCACACCCCACTCGAAGACAGAGGAGCATCACATTTTCTACTCCATTTGCCCACGGGGCATATATTCCACTGAATCAGAGGATCCAGATGTTGCTGAGCGCAATAAGTCAGATTATTCAGTGTATGGGCTCTTCGCCTACGAATCCAACTTCATACAATATCATTGTATTTGACTGGATACTCTGCTCGGGCTCAAGCAGCCCGAGCCCGTAGCTGTGAAGATTACGGGACGGTTCGGATGTTGCGGGCAGCAGTTTAAGAAATTTAGAGAAACTGCGTCTGCTGCTAAAAGTGTAAGAAACTAATTTTGTATGGGCCGGTGAAGGAAGCTGACTCTTGCTTGTACGTCAGGATAGCGTGGCAGTGACGGACTTCGTGCAGACAACCTTGACGAAATATAGAATGTGACGCCAGCCATCCCGTGTCGACCTCTTCGTGTACACTCCAGCACACAACGCCTCCATGGGTAATGTAGTCTGGCTACACATACGTTTTCCACAAGCAACGTAAGTTTCGAGTCTGGACTTGTAGAATGCAACGAGTCAGTAACTGACATCATCCCTTATCGTCCATGGATCAAAGTCTATCTAAGTCATACCAGTCCTTCAACCAACTTTTCGACTCCGTGATCCATCGGAGACACGTAGACAAAATTTCCAAAGTACAGTATATGGTCTTGAAATTCCTAATACTCATCTCGTGTTAGTCAAGAAGGCGGTTGGAAGAATCCCTGGTAAGTCTAATACTCCATTCAGCAAAGGTTTGGAAACTTGCAACACGCCATTACATTGTAATTACTCCGTTTCGCTTCGAGTCATTGGATCTCAAAGAGGAATCTCCCTTGGAAGTCTAGGGAGAAATGACCCGTGAGATATAAAAGATGTTTGTAATGATGGTTGGACATGAACGTGAATATGTACTTTACATTGACAATCCTCCCTCGGTTTCCACGGAATCCGCCAAGAGCTTAGACTTGCAGCAGCATGTCTGTTGACCTCAAAATTTCTTCAGTGTGCATTATTCCTCTCTTCAACAAACAATTATTATAGGATGAATTAAAAATCTGACTAGTTAACCAAAGAGTGTGCCCTTTGGTTCACCAGCCTTGTGATTAGAGTATTTTTTATAAATGAATTGTATCAGCTCTCAACGACCGACCATAATATTAAAGTATTTATGCACAGAGGAGATATATTGTCAAACCTGGAAACAGAAAAATTATTGAAGTCGAAAGGGAAGTGAAACCTCGCTCCGTCTTGCCATACTACAGGCCACATGACAATTGTTTTATAAAAGTTTCGAGTCAACCGAGAGCTACATGGTCCGAGCTATAGCATGAAAGAAAAAAAGTGAATTAAAGGGAATGGGAAAAGAATCGTCCGCTGAAGAGGACTATGCTCATGATCGATTGAATGAGATTTTGGAGGGCAAAGTTCGCGTGAAAGTAAAAAAAAAAAGAAGAGATATCCCGACCAAACTAATTCTCTACCTAAAGGGCTGGTTCTGTTTTGCGGAAGAAAGTTCCAACGAATCTTATGCACAGTAAAGCAAAACAACATCTTCTGCATTCACGTGGTGTCGAAGGGAAAAGTTCCAAATGGCGGAATTATCAACATCTTGACAAACAGCATGATTTAGAAGTCAAAATTACATCCGAATCACGATATGTTCAAGCGATCGAGTGACCGACCGACCTTTGTCCAGGCCAAAGCGATCATTGCCAAGCACAACGGGCATGAACAAAACTACGTGTTCAAAGCAAAACGATTCACAATGTCATTCACGTGAGCGATAAAAAATTACAGTTTCTCCTCTCCCTCAGCTTAGATTTCCCTAATTGAAGGGGTGTTGGGGTAAAACGATCATGGACAATCATGCTGGTGGTCCTCATTAACGTACTCCAGACATCCCTTGGACAGAAATGATTCCGGCAACAAGTTCGTCCCTAGTATCAAACCTCTTTCGTATCTTATTACTATATGTGTCCAGCCTTCCTTACCGGGTTTACAGCTCCATGATTTCCAGTAATTTCTCTAAATGAAAAAAATGAGAAAAGAGAAAAACCGTTAGCAAAAGCACGCAGTTTCTAAATTCAGTTTTGCTTTTTCCAAGTATATGGCAAAAAAATAGCAAACAGTATCACTCGCTTCATGTCATGACAACCTTTCCGAGAGCCAGCTCGTTCCAAAGTGCTGGACCTGTTGATGGGCGTCGTACGTAAGGGTTATCGAGCCGGTATATTCCTGCGCACCAGATAATGGAATGAGAAGTTGAGAACGGAAGGCAAAGACCGTGCGAGAGTACTCATTGAGCTTTGAGAACATAAGGGTTTAGAACCAATTGGTGGCAAGAGGTGAAAGCATTTGATCTGGATCAGGGACAGGACAGGCATCTGGCTTCTTCACATGTCGCTGTCAAGTTTTAATGAAAGCGAGTTCATTCCGCTCTTACACTACGACCACCGGATTGTGACAGGCATGCCACATCCCTCTTAGGATCACCGAAACTGGCAAGTGGAATTCAGTCAGTACGTACGACGATGAGAGGTTCACATCTTTCGCAGATATTTTTGACATGAATAATATAGGCGGAAGATCTTCATATATAGAACCGAGCAGAACGATAATGAATAAGACAAGGTGACATCTCAGATATTAACAAACACGAAGAAAAGAATCGTGGAACATAAATTCAGAGTTCAAATGAGTAATCGAGATTTTTGAAGAATTTCGATGGTTGACATCAGGAGGAAATTAATTTTGATGCAGGTATGATGAATTGACGCTAGAGAATGTTTTCGACGCTGGATGGGATGAGTCAGAGTGACTGACAGATGGACTTCATCCCTTCTCGAACCGGATCGAGTCATGGTCCGTGCGGGCTACGGTGGCGGAGAGAGCCAGCGCAATAGAACCAGCGGCCGACAACTGACGAACGGACGGACGTGAGCGACGGGGACGGGGGAGTCGTGAGCGGATGTCCGGCCGGAGGAACGGAGGGGGCGGGGCGGGGCGGGGCGGGGTTTCAGCGGGCGGACGGGGAGGGGCAGGGGTTGGAGCAGCTGGGGCCCACACACACACTCAACCTCAACAGCTTTGCTATCCCCGGTCACCTGTCCGTGAGTCCGGGGCCTAACCCGCGAGCCCAACCCCAAGGCCCGGAATGGGTCTCTCCCCCACCCTCAGGCTGGCTGGCAGGGCTGCGGCTGCACGCTTGGACTCGGAGGCATGACTGTTGGGCCACAGCGCAGCTGCAGATCGACCGTGATATAGTGCAGGGAGAGGGAGTCCTTCATTTCCTGGGAGATTTGGAACGCAATTCGACGGGGCGCATCTCCAGGAGACTTGGCGAGGTTAGAGTGCAAAGGAGGGAGAGAAGAGAGAATTTGCCGCGGGCGGAGCGCTCAGGGATCCGGGGACTGGACTCATCGTCTTTATAACGTGGGAGATCTAGAGCTCAGCAGCTAGCATGGATATACATACATCGACAGACACACACTCACACACAGCCCTTGTTGAATTCGAAAGCCGGACGTCCAGTTCGACTTTTGTTTGAAGCTTGGCTAGACTGCTCCGGACGCCCCCCCGGCAGCCACGAGACTGCTCAGAATTCGGACCCTGGCACCAAAAGCACGGGAATATTTGGACCTTCGATAAGACTTATCTGCAACTTTGAACCACAGACTCGGCTGCGTGGTGTCGTTTTCTTTAGAATGACGACTCGTTTCCCGAGTTCATCGTGGAGAACGAATCGATCCAGCAGCCCATAGGTTCCGCCGGAAGGTTATATTTGACCGGGTGGATGATCGGCCAGTCGGCGCCGTCCTGTTCTTATATTGGGCTTATTTGAAGACGTGGTCTCGGAATCTCAGTTCCTATTGGCCAGTATTCTCGGTACAAAGCTTCGGTCCTGGGGACTGCTGCTGCAAATTCCGAACGAGGGAAACGCGAGGAAACACTCGAGCAGACGTGCACATCGGTCCGACTAGCCACCCCGCTGCGAGAGCTTCGCAAAGGACAGCAGCGCAAACTTTCGGGGGTTATGGCCTTCGAGAGAAGAGGACATTCCTTGCAATACCTCTCTGTGAAGCAGTAGACTCGCACTCGTCGGTTCCAGTCAGATCCCAACGAGATCTTCCAGGCACCTCAGGATTCAAGGCCGCAGAAGATTTTGAAGCCCCGTTGGAATTCCGGTAACGATCGGTCATCATGGTGGTCAAAGAAGAACAAGGCCCTGCGGCCACTGCAACCTCAGCCCCTGCTGCTGCAGGTGTGCAGTATCAAGAGGTATCTGCTGCATATCTGACCAAAACCTCTATGAATGCTTGTATTAGTTCCTAGCCTTCGTAGATCACCTCCGAGCTGCACCCTCGCACTTTAAATAAATTGTCGGTCCAAGAGAACACGCGAATTCACTAGATCGATCTGACACGGTATATATTGTCTGGCGGCAGGGATACGTTGTGAATGACAGGGGAATGAAGCAGTTTGTATGCTGCTGGCAACCCGCTCACCAGGAGCCGAAAGCATTGGTCTTCATGTGTCACGGTGAGTTCCCAGACCCTGAACCTGGTACCCGTCACACCGTCAGTCCCCCCCTTCTACGTATCGATGGTGAATTCTGGAATTTTTCAGGTGAAACTGCGCAATCTAGACGGGCCACCTGCACCCACCAAACTAGATGAATCACTTGCACCTGTCTCATGTAAATCCACAATTCCAATGTTTCAAGGTCGTCGGATGTTCCAGGATCTTTGAATCGCGTTTTCCGTGGCCCCTGTGAAAATTTTGGACTGATATTATCACTGGTGTCATCGATCGATCGGCTTCCTCGCACGTGTAGAGGAATAGACTCAGTAATTGTGGATGGATGTGAAGATGCTCACTTGCACACATTTAGACTTCATTCCTATTCCAGTTCATTCTTTTGGGTGTTTAGACTTGAAACCATCTCCCTGGTTTTCATGTGTCACGGTGATGGCGGATAAATCTGCGACTGCCGTCACATTCTTCGTCTAGGCAAATCCATATACGGCTTTTCAGCCTGGATTACTTATTCCAGCTGGACACAGAGATGGAGAGAGGTGGAATCTCCTGTCTCCTTGGAAATCTATGTAGCTACGACGGACGAATCAAGGCAGCTATGATCCAGCTGGCTAGCAATCCATGAAGATGTTGAGCAATCGATCACGTTCTTTGCGCCTTTGTATTTTTTTTCTTCGATGGTTTCTTTTTGAGCAGTGAGGGGTTCGAATGCTAACGTAGAGCACTGCAGAGTCGTGTTTCCGGGATCTTCACTTTCTGTCATGCTGGGCTCGGCTGCTGGTAGTATTCTGGCACGTAATGGATCCATCTTCGATTTGACGTTTCGATGGATCTGTAGAACGGGGGCTTAAAAAAATCCAACCACATAATTCTGGCACGGGGACCCAACTGCTTCAGTCGTGTCGCATCTAAATTCCAGAGCGCGCGGTCGCTAGCTCGCTTGCAGCTTGTTTGTGACGCGTTGACGGTAGGAGCTGGTTGATCTATTTTAAGAGCCCGTCTAGTGCCATCGTGTTACTGGATGGAAGGGAAGGAGAAAAGATTGACGGGCTCCAGGTGAAAAATTTGAACAAGCTTTTTCTCCGGGCTTGTTGAATAAGTCAAACAAGCCGGGCAATCCATTTCTTCAGATCTCGAGGAAGTCCCTATCAGTCTCGAATTTGACTCGGAGTGATCCGAGACTTCGTGATTACGGAATCCGTTTTCCAATATCCGGAACTTTGACTTGTCAGCACGTGCAATTGCACAGCAAGTTTGGAAGAACTATCAAAAATCTTCTGCAGTTGACAAGAAAACCACGGCAAGGCCATCAAACTAGAGGGACTACATATATTACACTAAGAACTTGGAAAGGTTTTGCTTGCCGACCAACGTCCAAATTCAGAGTTTGTTTTACGACGAGTCTTGATTGTTATACGATGCAGAGCAGAAGTACCAGATCCTTTTAAGAAAATGGACTGAGGATGAATTTGTGTGGGATACAGTTATATGTCGGATTGTCATTATTTCAATGACTGCATCTATTTTCACGCATGATTCTGATTTTAGCAACTGGTGTACGCAGGCTATGGAATGGAGTGTAGCGTGTACATGAAAGGTGAGCAAAAATCTTTGCTCAGGTTGAACCAAGTTTTTTTGGTAGTTCTAGGCGATTGGAAGCAATGATATTTGTTTTCTCACGCAAATGATTAGGCGATCCGTTCTTAAGTTCCGTACACGACGACGGAGTGACGGGCAGATTTATAGGAGGGAAACCAATTTCTCATTGCACTTTGTGTATCGATGGACCCTTTGCTGTAGATAATGGTGAGAGGCTTGCAAGAGCCGGATACGCAGTTCATGGTATAGATTACGAAGGACATGGGAAGTCGGCGGGGAAGAAATGCTTCATTCCGAGTTTCGACAACCTTGTCTCGGACTGTACATCGTACTTCCTCAGTATCCAGGGTACCAACCTACTTAAACTCAGTTGCTTACTTCGACCGATCTGACGAGATATCCACACGGGCTCAGCTGCAGAGTTGAGGAAATTTGATTGATGGTCACGAATAATAGTTTTGAGGGATCGCTTATTTCGCTCAGCAGTGACCAATCTGCTATCAATTTCTGCTGCTGCAGATCGGAAGGAGAACAAAGACAAACGGAGTTTTCTGTATGGAGAGTCGATGGGAGGAGCTGTTGCCCTTCTCGTTAGTCGGAAGGAGCCCACCAGATGGAAAGGGATGGTGCTGGTAGCTCCAATGTGCAAGGTATGGCATTCTTACCTTCTTGTGATGTGAACAAACAGTGCAGCATGATGATTTGATCTCAGGAAGTAAGCAGACTGTGCTTGCAATTTGAAAGATTCTACTGTCTGTCTATAGTTGACTATTTCCAAAGAATTCGTGTTTTACTCCACGTTGTACTTTTCCGTCACTCCTGATGCGGTCATTTAGATTCAGTTTACAAGTAGAGTGTGATTTTACCGATGGAACAACCTTAAATTAGATCGTGACTGCAATTTTCTACCTTGGTCGGGCCTGGAAGCGTGCAAGGCTCTCAGTCACTACCAGATTGGAAAATACTGCTGCTTCACCTTGATACATGATAGATGCTTCCGAGCCTTCAATAGAGCAATCTTGTCGAGCGAAAGTTTCCAGGCTCAGAGCCATTTGTGATAACAGAGGCCAATCGTATATATCTGCCCGGAGTCGGACGTAGACTAGGGATTCTGAGGTTGATTCAAAACGGAAATAAAAAATGTGCAGATTTCAGAAAAGATGAGGCCTTCTCCAATCGTGATCGCCACGTTGTCGCGGTTGTCGTCACTCATTCCCACGTGGAAAATTGTGCCCGGAGCAGATGTGTACGACCAAGCGTTCAAGCTCCCAGACAAACGCGAAAAGGTTTGACTCCCAGCATGCATCCAAAGACCTCCCTCGATGGAGGACGCAAGCTTTTATTAATTTTTTTCCTGCGTTGTAGAGTCTCGTCTCGATCGTGACACCTCGATGTTCTGATGCGACACATGCGTTATCCGACCATCGAAATATGATGTTCACACAGAGTCACGTTCCTCGTTTGTTTGATTTAAAAAATCTGACCGACATATTCTCATCTATATCCCCCTTCCATGGTTCCGTCTCGATTCACAGATCCGATCTAACAAGCTACTCTACCATGGAAAGCCGAGAATCAAGACCGCACTGGAGATGTACCTCACAAGTTGTGACCTCGAGGAGCGTCTGGACGAGGTGAACGTCATCTCCCACTTATTAGTCCCAGTGTTGTTTACCTTTGCTAATATTTCCAGTGAAAAACACCACATGCGATGCGAACCGAATAGAAACCGCTACAGAGTTGACTATTTAAATTCAAGCTGAATCATGTTTCTTGTAAGAAGACATTCTCGTGCAGGTAGCATGCATAAGCATGCTGTTAAGTCGGAGCATGAATGAGTTCTGAGCTTGGATGGATATCAATTAATTACGGACAGTCGCTTCAGAGTTTTGGTAAAAGCAAAAAGTTTCCTCGACACGTTTCCATCCATCGAACCTTTAAACCGTTTGGTGTCCAGTTTCGAGAAATCGTTCGATGGGGAAATCGTTTCGTGTTCAGGCTGATGCTGAGAAAGATGCCTGGCTTGCTTGTGCAGGTAACTCTGCCCTTTCTGCTGCTGCACGGGCAAGCCGACACGGTGACGGACCCGGAGATCAGCAAAACGTTGTTCGACACGGCCAAGAGCTTCGACAAATCCATGAAGCTGTACCCGGGGCTGTGGCACGGCCTGACGGCTGCGGAATCGGACCAGGACATCGACATGGTGTTCCAGGATATAATCAACTGGCTGGACGAAAGGAGTCGCAGCAGCCCTGCCAGCTCCAGCGGCACCGGCTCCAGCCCGATCCGGCAGTCGGATCTCAGCGCCCTCGATACCGATAACAAAGCCAAGATGGAAATGGATGCGATGTGGCAAGTGTCCGAGTCCGGCCATAAAGGTCAACACGACGGTTCGCTACAACCAGGGGCAGCAAAATATTAAAGTTCTTAGAACGAACGAGAGAACGATGGAACGGATGGATGGAATGGATCCGGACGAGCTCCATGCGTTGGTCCTTCGGATCGAAATGACCATCACATGGCAGGATTGCATCGGATCTGTGGAGACCTGTACAGCTCACTCCACTACAGCAACACACTATACTAAAAAATCCCATCGACCGATCGACGAAAATAGTAGCGACCTGTCATTCATACCCTGTCTCTGCTGAGGTTGGCCTGGCTCGGTTACAGCCCTGTCAAGATCACGGTCACCTCTCTCCAGAAATTTTGACACTGCAATCTGTATTATAAATCCCATGACAGCGAGCGAACCTAGCGATCCACAACGAAACCTCTGTTAGCTCTCAACCATGTCCCTACATCGATCCAAAAGGTTTGGACCTCCGAAATTCGTACCTCGGACCTCTCTCTACTCAATCCTGATACTTGAAATAAGTTGAGAGGCCTACTAGCTCATCTTCTTTATACGGCATCTACGGATTTCAAAGCCAGCCTTGTGCTGCAACCTATGTCAAGAGAACCCTTAGAGACCATGTATACCCACGTACATACGAGCATACAGGGAGAACTCAGCTACATACTAACATATACAGCTAGCTGTGATGCCAAAATGCTGGACTACCAGTTCAGGCAGGCAACCAGCCTGCCTTAATTGATCGGCAACTTCGGTGCATTTCAGGCGAACGGCATGGCGTCAGCAGCAGCAAAACGTACATATCTTGGAAATTTTACAAGGTTATTGCCCTAGTGTATTTCTGTGGGACTTGCAGTGTCGGCATCATGTCAGCATCACAGATAACGAGGTCTCTTTCCCGATCAGTAACGCCGAATCCAGCGGCTCTGCTCACTGCTTGCAGTTGTTTGCTGAAGTGATGGATATAGTTGACTTGAACCGATAAATTTCTCCTTAGAACCTCGAGATCGTCTTCACGTTTGGCAGTAATTAGTCAGGGGTAAAGCGCACCTGTCCTGGTTTGCTCCTTGTGAAAGTTGTGGTCGTCAGGAGCTACGCACTATACTAAGCACGCTTATGGCGATATAATAATAAGTTATCGTATCAGCAGTATTGTGCTGTGAGTTATCAGCTTTTCCATGCCCAGGTGCTGCCGTGTCGTCTCTGAGTCCTCTTCTTTTTCTGGACGGGATCTCCGTCTGAAATCGCCATGAATGTTCTTTTATACTTCTTCCAGAGCTCGGGTCTAGGTCTGGAAACGTAGTCCAGTTTGTGAAGAGTGTGGCTGTTGACTATCCGGAACTGTTTCTACGTCCTTTTGGTTGGGTCTTATATGCCAGCCAAAGGTCTAGATCAGTCTATCAATTTCGGTACTTTCGGGTGAATAGAATCACTGATATAGTAAAACGTAATTTTCTGGTCGCACTTGTTTCGGATCCAAGAAGCTTAGACTGGTCACGAGGAATTGATCGTCTAAAGATGACTTCATACGGCTTGTGACTCTCACCCGGAGCGTTTTGATTCATCCATTTTCCCAGAGATGTAAGTAAATTGTTGGGATTGAGTCGAATCCGAACGAAACACACATCGATGCACATGAGAAGACTCAACTTTTTCAATCCCAAGAACTGTCCAGATTTAAAAAAACCGTTGAATAAAAAGCTGGTCCTGTTTAATGCTTTTTCTTTGATCAGTAAATTTGTACTAACAATTATCAATAAATTCGTTGACTATTTCATTTACTAGATATTTGTCACACAGTGAGTCACTTCTAAGTACCCTCAAAGGTTTTTACACTGCAACACCTTGCTGCTTACTTGGATTTGAGAAGTATATAGTTGTATTTCTACATAGACAGGAAATACCTGGACATTTATTCATGAAGACCTGCATATTTAACACGAAAAGCTGCGACGGGCGAGTGGAGCAGAGAGAAATTCTATTATGAAGAGATTACGCTGTAGCTTGAAGTTATGACCTAAGAAATGTCCGAGAGGAAGATTGTGTGGCGGGAACATATTGATTACCTTCGATCTCAAGTTTTGATGAGAACAGTTAAGGCAGTATCCAGGAGTAAAAGAGGGAACTGCATTTAAATATTTCCACACCTACGTTGAGAGCTGGAGTTTTCGTAGAGGTGCTTTTTCGTGAGCTTCAAACGAACAACAATTGGCTATTCGGCGACAATAGGTCTAAAAGACACAGGTCTCGTCTACGCACTGGGACTTGAGCATTATTATCCACTTCTGTATCATTGAGAGCGCGTAGAACTATTCATGTCCTCTGATAGCCACCACAAGATCTTCAGGGCCGATTACATGGAACTCATGTTCTTGATGGTTTTGAGTACTGTGCAAAAATCACTTTCTGAGTTTTGGCGTCTAGTGGCACATCATAGTTGTGGACGGTTGGAAGGTTCTCAGATTGCTAAAATTGGGAATTTATTATTAATATTATTAATAATTTTTTAATCTCCGTTGTTAGATGGTGTTTTACACCTATCATGGTTCTACAAATAAAACTATAGACACCGATGTATGTCTCTGGATCAGGTACACATCAAGCAACAATCACCGATCAAATTAATAAATGGAGATATTTTAAAAACTTCCACTTCTTTGCCTGACTAGCTGCTTGTTATGAGGCCTACATAACTGGCGGCTTCTTCTAAAAATCATGGGAGACGTTAGTGCCTTGTATCTCAGTGGCTTCTGCTGAATTTTTAGTGAGCTCAACAATATTGGAGTTAAGGGACTGGAAGTATTGACACGTCAATCAACCTGATATCTGAAGAACTTGCAGTACAATTTCCAAGTTCTTCACAAAATATAAGCTGGAACTTGTGAGGAATGAATCTATGCTGTCCGCAATGCACAAAACTGTCTGCTATTGACTTCTGATAGATGTGAACGAAACAGTTACTGCAAGGGTTAGATGGAAAATAAATGCACCATCGTAGACTTCAGCACCTTCGGGAAGGAAAATTACATTTGTGAAAACATTCGTATCTGCACATACGTAAATTTTCTCACTGACAACTGCTCAGGTTTTCGGAAGTAAGACGTGTCTGCAGATGAGATTGCTTGGAGGACCCTCGTTCAGCAAAGTCATACTCCACAGCTGGAGCTTCTTTATAGCACATTCTGCGTGAGTACCCACGAAGAAGCATCACGAATTATCTGTCCATACCATGGTGCTCCTGTTATCGTGGTGGAACTCCCCACTTCTGCAAAAGCTTCCTTGTCGGGCCAGTGGTTGAGTGAACTTTTTGTGGTTTACATGAACTGACTATATGCACCTGCACATGTTTTCTTGCCGGCTTCCAAAAACGGTTAGCTCCTCATGGTGCCAAATCACTATTAACTTCAAGCTTGACCCAACTGCTAGAAGATGAGCACCTGAAACCTATCCATTCACAGCTCACTAAAGTAGGGGCTTGACTCAATGGTACCTTTCTCTAAAAATCCAGACCTCGTGAGTACATTGACTTTGGGGCTTAGAGACACTGTATTGGGCTTCAGCACCTATGGACACGAGTGGCTGCGAGTATCTGTGTCTGCTTGAAAAGCTGGCATTTAAGTCTGCAATACACTATGCATTGGCTTGAATTTACTATCAGTCACTAAGCTTAATCGGACTTAAGGTCCGTATAATCCAGTACATTGCATACTTATACTTTTCAACTTTGCGATGGGATTGCTAATTCTTCTTGCTCATAAGAACACCTTCACCGAAAATCTCAGATCGTGAGGATTCACAAAAACGAGGACAGTTTTGTTGTAAGATGTTTACCGTGGTTGAATGACTGAAGATTGCGAGAAACGAGAAACGGCTGTAACAGCTCACTGTTAGTTGAACCCAGTGATGAATAAGCACCTATAGGTAGAACTCCAGAGCCCGATGTTAGAAACTGGTGTTACCAAAAATGGCTGTTTGGAGTTTCATCCTACTGGGCACCTTTCAAAAAATCAGATCTGATTTGAGGAGAGATTATGGGCACGCACCCTTTTCACGGTGCGCAGGTTTTCAGAATCCAATATTCCTACCGGCGGTTCTGAGATCGTGTGAAAGTAAACAGCAGAGGGTTTCTTCAAGCACGTCTTTTGGAATTTTGGGGTTTTTTTGGGCATTTTGACAAATAATCCTCCCACTTGTAATGTCCCACACGATTTTCATGCGCGCCAGGAGCACAGTTCCATATGTTTTACGCAAGCGAAGATTGTTTCGTCTATCGCAGTTCAGACTACATCCCTCTTCAGGAAATCCTGATGGTTGCTCGAGATGGTTTAGAGTACAAGCTAGAATCACCTGCATGTGTAGCGCTAGTCTAGGTCACCTGATGCATTCTTCTTTGAGTCTCTTGTCAGGGAGGACCCATGACCTGCAGATGATGTGTAGAAGTCACACAAGTACGATCAGACATACGTTAGGTTCACACAAAAGCGGCTATCCTCAAGCACAAGGAATTCAAAGCGTTTGAATGGTACTCATGTATTCAGACAGGCTCAAGTGAAATTTGGGAAGTTTGTTGAAATAGGAGAACTTTAACTTCTAAAAACTACAGTACGCGCAGGAGCTTATTTTCAGTTTACAATCCTCGATAGATAGAAGCCCAGAATGCATGATGTTAGCACTGGAAGGATTATCTCCCACATTCGAGCTCGATCCTTGGACCAAGCTTGACTTGTTTTCAATGCGACATTTATCGGAATAGCTATTATGATTTATCTTGGAAAGCAAAGTGCCCCTTTGCTTGTTGGCTTTAGCACCAACACTCTGATCGAGGAACAGCTAATCATTTAAAACTTGTGCAGTCAGTTGGCTGGATTAAAGTCTAGACTGCTGAAATCAAGCTCGGTACATGTTGACAATCCAATGGCGAAAATAGAGTATTGGTACATGTTGACAATCCAATGGCGAAAATAGAGTATTAGTCGCCTTCTGACCGGGATGTCTCGAGCAGCGAGGTGGCAGTAGTCCTGAGTGATGGTCAAGAGATGATGATCTAATGAAATTGGACCAATTGGTACTAAAATTCCATTTGCTGGTGCATTCAATTGACACTAGTATCAGCGTAGAAAGGTCTAAATAATAAATTACTCAATGATTCTGAATAAAAGTTCGTTTCTTTCATAGCAGTATTCAAACTAGGTAACAACTGTTCAATTCAGGTCTCTGGGTGTTATGCTCATGACACACGAATCTCGTACCTAAATTTTTCTTTCCAGCTATGCCAACCATGCAGCTCGTCTTCGGGTCACAACTGCGAGCACAAATTGCAAATTGTTGAGCTAAAAGGGATAGAATCACATATCCAGTCGTCGGCAAAGCTGTGGTGAGGTATCTTCATACGAAAAATTTGTTAGAATCATTTTCTCATATTCCATACTGAGCTTCAAGAGGTTTACCGCTTGATGTCGGTGCAAAAATAGACACGAGCTGGTTGACCTTTGACGCTACAATGGACCTACGATACTTGTACTCAGCACGGGAAACTGGCAAATGACATTCATAGATTAAACAAAACCTGTAACTAGGGGACAGTACTCAGTAGGATCATAATGTTGACTGAAAAGTATTTCAGATAAAGTTTGTGAATGATTCACGTCAAAACGGTATACAACACCGGAATAGCATCCAACGAACTTTTTGAACTATTTATATCATTAGCTAATGTTTTATGTAGTGGAATCTAAATATGTTCTTAAAGCAGACACACACTAGACTTGAAAAGAGTGAAACACATTATGCCTACTATGGTAAGGTTTTCACGCTCATGAATATTTTGAAATCGGTGTCTATAATTCTATACTTGGGGTGAGAGTTACTACAACCTTTATCATTTTCGCCCAACCGAAAAGACAGATAAAAACCCTTGGTAAAACTGTATCATCTCTAGTATCAAAAACTGTCATGTCATGTCTGCAATAGTAACATGGTACTATCAAACTAAATATAATTTGTCTTAGCAATCTTGAACTTCAAGGGATGCCAACTCTCTCTACATTTAGATTTCCAACCTCACTTTCACCCTTTGAGCAACAAATCGTTTGAACAGCAACTGGATCTATCGTAATCGTACACTTGACCGATAAAGATGCACTGAAATTGAACAAGCCAAGAATTATACTCATTGTTATAAAAATAATAAGCTGATGCGAGAAGAAAAAACCTAATACACAACTGAGTCATGATGTATCTTTTACTAATCCAGAGCATTAAAAATTCTTACAATACAAAAATTGGAGAGATTTTAGGATTGTATATAAAGCATATTGAAACTGTTTTTCCATCACGATATATTGTAAAGATTTGTTCAATTTGTGGGCAACAAGAAAAAGATAAAAATAATGTCATTACTCTAGTACTAAATCTTGTTATGGATACTTGTAAAGGTTATAAACTTGTAACCACATCTATTGCATACATCTCAAAAAGATGTCTAACTGACATCACTAAGTGGCCAAAAACAGTGTAAATGCGATCTCCTCTGTCGACAATAAATCCAATACTTCAAATAAGGGTTAAGTGCCAGTATTTCTTCCACACATATTCAAATTTCATTCAAATTGTTATCAATCATGACTATGATCCATATATCAAAGGCCATAAATTGAGGAAAAAAAATTAGAA